TTTTTTTAACAAAAAAAAAAAAAAAAAAAAAGACTAATACAAAGGGCATGGGGAATCATGCACTGGCACTTAAATGCATCTACCTGGAAGTGACGTGTAATACTTCTCATATTTCATTGCCCAGACCGAGTCAGGTGGGCATGCCTAACTTCACAGGACTGGAGAAGTTTGATACTCCCACATACCCAGCCTTAGAGGGAAACTGAATATTGATGCATATATAGAAGTGTTTGCTATACCCTTGCTACCTGCATTGCATGCTTATATTTTCTATTCTATTCCACTTCATTAAAGACCAAAAAATCTTTTACATTGATTTTATTATCAACTACTGCGTTGTGATCCCTGGTTTGGAAAACACTGCTCTACAGACCCTCTTCTGCCCATGCCTCATGGACCACATGACACACCCCAGACATAGCTGATTGGCCCAGGGATAAGACACCTGACCAAAGCTGACCAATCAAATTCCTCTCCTGGGAGTTTGGAATTGGGCCATTCAGCCAGTTAGCAGTGGGAAGCTGAGCAAGAGGCAGAGTAGAAACAGGGTTGGAGAGAGAGTCACATGCAAGCCAAAAGGATGGAGGAGCAGAAAAGCCCTGAGTAAGCAGAGACTGCTGGTCCACAGAGACAATGGAGTGGCTGCACAGAGAGCAGTGCAGCTGGGAGAACTTGCGGCCCCAGAAGGAGTGCTGGAGAGAGAGAGCAACCGCCTGAGAGTCTGATGGCTTCCGCACTCCCGGCTCCAGCCCCCATGCGTCCTGCCTGCTTGGGCTTCCCGTGAGATTTTTGCCTCCTTATAGCAACCCTGCCCCTTTTCTTGAGCTACCCTTGGTGGGTTTCTGTTCCTTGTCTCCAGGGAGCCGTAATCAGCTAGAACACTGCTAATATTTCTATTACGGGAATCCAGCTGTGGCTCTGAGGATCAGGCTGTGGGGCATAGATGGGACTGTGTGTGTGTGTGTGTGTGTGTATATGACCCAAACCGAGCTTCCCACAGCCTGGAAGTTTGTCTTTGACCACAGTCTTGGGCTTCTATGCTTACTCTTCAGAGTGGACAGGCAGAGCTGTCTGTGTGATGCTGCATATGTAGGTGGTCTGGGAAACTGGAAACATCCCCCAGGGGCTCTTTTCTGATAGTGCTAGACTTGGAAAGCTAGCGGAGTTGTTTCAGAGAGGGCTTAGCTGCATGACAGAGTGGAAAGGAGGTGGGCTCTGGAGACAAGCAGACCACACTTCACCTCTCTGAGCCTCAGTTTCCTCATCTCCAAAATGGGACTGTTGTAAGGATCAGCAGTGTTCTGGGAAAAGTACTTAGAGACATGACTGGGGCAGAGCATGCTCTCAGGAATGTGGCAGCTGCGGTTGTTGTTGAGAAAGCCATCAGAGTCCGGCTTCCTGAAGGAGGCGTCCTGGTGCTGACCAAGTTAGTGGCAGGACATTCCACACTGCTGGCCATGCTTCCTGTTCCCCTCATTCCCCCCATTGCCCCTTCTCACCCTTTCATTTTTTCCTCTTCCCTTCCTCTCTTCTGTCCTCATTTCCCCTCTCTTCTGTTATTCCTGATGTTTTTAAAAACACCTACTTTAGGAGAGCAGCAGGGTTGGATATAAAGCACCCAGCTTCTGGAGGCAGACAGAATCCCAACCTAGCCCCTTGCTTGCTGTGTGTTCCTGGCAAATTACTGCATTTCTCTGAGCCTCGAATTAATTATCTGTAAAATGGAGGTTATAATACCCATTGTACGGTGCTGTTGTGAGAAATGATTAGCCAGTCAACAAATGCTAGCTCCTTTCCTGCCTCCCTTCTTGAATATCACTCTTATACTCACTTTTTGTATTAACCAGGAGAAGCTGGTCTGCTCCAGTAACAAACAATCCCAAAATCTTAATAGCTCAAGAGTTTTCTTCCTCCCTTATGCTACACATCTATCATGTAGCAGGAGAGTCCTGGGATCTAGGTAGATGGAGGCTTTCCCATGTAGATCATTGCTGCTTTCAGTGGCAGAGGAAAGAGAGTGTGGTAGGCAAAAGAATGCACCCCCAAAGATGTCTCTGTCCTAATCCTTGGAAACTGTGACCCCCCCCAGCATTTACTTGACTCAGTTATTCGTGGCTACTCCTTTCCCTCAGACCCTGGACTTGAGAAGGGTGGACAAAGGCTTCTGGAAGCAGCTGGGGTCCCTGTGGCCTGTGCCACTTCTCTGGTCTCCTGTGCAGGTTCAGCCCCAGCTTGGGAGCTGCTGGTTCAAACCGTGTGATCTGTATTTTTTCTCACTTTAGCAATTATCACACCCCAGCCAACTGTGGCATCTTCGCACTCCAAACACTGATAAATATTCATGAGGAGGAGAAAAGCCCGGGGCTCTAGGGGAGGTGGGAGAGAGAGGTACCAGGCTCTTCTTTGCAAGCACTGCTCAGACCCATCAGTGGTCCCTGGGGCCCCCAGAAATGAGGGGTAGGTGTGCGGGGCTGGGGCCGTGGAAGCAGCATAGAGCCATCCCCCACTCACCCGTCTCTGGGATGTGGTGAGCCTCACTAGCCCTGTCCACCTGCTGCCTGCCAGACCTCCTGCTCCTGGGGAAGGATTTGGTGGCCTGCCTCCCTCTTGGCCTCCTGTGGGCCTGCCCCATCTCCCTGTGTCTGTTCCATCTCTCTCTGTTCGTGACTGTTTCTTTCTTCCTCTCTTTTTTTCCATCTCTCATTCCATCTTTTATTTTTACACCTCCAGGGCCCTTGTCCCTATCCTCCTTCTCTCCTCTAACACCTTCTCTTATCTCTGGGTCTCTGTCTCTTTCCCTTTTCTTCTCTCCCTTTCAACAAGCACTCTGAGAAATGCTTGGGCTAGATGATGGGGATAGGTCAGGGGGTCTTAGGCTCCCAGATCCAGCTGGGGGAAGGGGGCAGGAGGAGCGGTAGAAGGCAAGTGAACACTTTTTGGGAGTCAGGGACTACATCTCTGCCTGACTTCATGTCCAGTGCTCTGCTGTGTGGCCTCGAGTGTATCCCCTGCCTTTCCTGGGCTTCAGTTTCTCAGTCAAATGAGGCAGTTGATTCCTTCGCTAATTCATTCATTCACCTGTTCCACTAATATTTATTGAGTGCTTGCTACCTGCCATCCATTAGCACATATTTATTAAACACCATCAGGTGTGCTGTTGTGAGCGCTTGGGATTTGTCAGTGGACAAGAGAGTCAAAGAGCTCTGCCCTTGAGGACCAGACATGTTGGCAGAGTAGACAGGCCAGGCTTGCAATAAACAAGTAAATTATGTAGTAGGCTGGAGAGTGATGAGTGCTATGGAAAAAAGAAAAAGTAAAGCAAAAGAATTGGGGGGGTGTGTGGTGCTGGGGTTGCGTCGGTTGAAGCATCAAATAAGGAGGTGGGGTTGGATAAGCAGATAATGGGGAGTGGAGGTGGGGTTGGGTAAGCAGATAATGGGGAGTGGGCAGCCCAGAGGAGGGAACTGCTCGAGCAAAGGCCCTGAGGCAGGAATTGCCCTGCTGTGTGTCTGAGGAACAGCGAGGAGCAGATGTGGCTGGAGAAGAGCAAGGGAGGGTAGTAGGAGGTGACATCAGGAGGTGAGGACAGATCACACAGACTTCACAGGCTGCATTAGTCCATTTTCTATTGATTATAACAGAATACCTAAAACTGGGTCATTTATAAGAAAATGAAATTTATTTCTCACAGTTTTGCAGGCTGGGAAATCCAAGTTCCGGGGGGACATCTGGTGAGGGCCTTCTTCTTGGTGGGAAATCTACAGAGTCCCGTGGTGATGCAGGTTATCTCACGGTGAGAATGGCAAGAGTGCTTTAATGTGCTCACTTGCTCTCCTTATGAAAAGCACCAGTCTACCCCTTGATAACCTGTTAAACCATTAATCCATCACTCCATGAATGGATTAATCCATTCACAAGCGTATAGTCCTCAGGCTCCAATCACCTCTTAAAGGCCCCACCTTTCAAATACCATAGTCAGATTTTCCACCCTCTTAACGCTGTTACAGTCGGGATCAAGTTTCCAGCACACGAACTTTCAGGGAACATTCAGCCCATAGCACAGACACTCCAGGCTTTTCCTCTGCGTGAGCTGGAGGACTTACATTTTGAGAGTCCCTCAGCCTGCTGTGTGAAAAATGGACTGCAAGGGGCTGTTGCTGTAGCCCAGGAGAGCTTTAATGGACATAATGGCTTAGGTGGAGGTGGCGGTGGAGATGGTAAGAGCTGATTATGCCGGACTCTGTTCTGGCTCTCAGTGCTTGTGTGGTGCCTGTAAGTCACTCCAGGCCCCTTGTCCATGTCTTGCCTCAGGGTGGCCTGCAGGAGCCTACCCTTAGGCAGGACACACTAACTCTGGCCTTACTTCTTTCTCTGCAGAGTGTTCAAGAAGGCGAGCCCGAATGGAAAGGTGAGTCTGTAACAGATGCGCCCTGCTCCTCCCTAACCCCAAACTCTGGTCATTCTCTCTCAGGACAACAGAGGAAATGGCATCTCTACAGAAATGCACACCTCCGTGGGAGTGAGTAGACCTGCTCCTCTGAGGCATGACACAGCTCTGTCCTTAGGAGCACTCAATCTGGAGGGGGGGCCCTCTCAGGAAACGTTTTTCCTGGACTTTAGGGAGCCCTGCTCTGGTTTGGAGAGAGACAGCTTATTGTAGAGAGACTTCAATGTGAGTGCAGGAAAGGGAGTACAAGCTGGTCGGTGAATGGCTATTCTGCTGGTGTGAGAGGACCCTAGCATTGCCCTGTTATCCAGGGCAGCTCCCAAGGCCTGTCCCCCTTCCTTCCTTTCTTCAAGTCCCCAAACTGCATCCTGCTCTCCTCTAGGTTCAGCAAATAGATATTATTGACATCATTCCATACTAGCTCTGGGCCAGGCCCGGTGGGGATTGGGGCAGGGTGTACTGAGATGAATCAGGCACAGCTTGTGCCACTCACAGCCAGATTGCAGAGGCAGATGCAGAAATCGACCACTTCAATATGAAGTGGCAAGTTCGAGATACAGGGATGCCCAGGGGCTGCAGGACCAAGCCTGGATGGTCAGAGGCAGCTTCTTCTAGGAGGGATGCATTTGCAGGCAAGGCAAAGTAAAAAGGGGCATTCTGGGCAGAAACATAAAATCTAGTGAGGGGGGATGCCAAGCAGTTGAGTATCAGAGTGCCAAGAGGGAAGCAGAGGGAGCAGGAGCTGGGGTGGGAGCGCCTGCAGGGCTGGGTCCTGGCGAGTCCTGGGGCCAGGCTTAGGAGCTTGGACTCCTGGCCTGGGTTGGCACATAGTGCTGCGTGCACTTCCACATCCCCCTCCCGCACACACAGCAGGCATCACCAGTCACCCTTCACCCTTCCTTGCTGCACCAGCATTCCCTCTTCTATTCCTTCTCAGCCCAGGGCTCAGGCATCCCCTACCAATCGGTCAGAGCTGGCACTTGGAATGAAACCCATTTGTCTTCCTTACCTCTGGGCACTGAGGAAAGGGTTTTCATACAGGAGTAGTATGGTTAACTTTGCACAACTGGTCTCGCTAAGGAAGGCGTGTGAGGCTACCGGAGACAGAGCACTGAGGGCTGGTGTCATCTTCTAGGCAAGGGCAGCTGCAGGGATTGAAAGGGATAGATTTGAGAAACGCAATGGAAGTAGAATCACCAGGATTGAGGGATTACTGAGGACCAGGAAGCTTCTAGGATAACACTCTGGATTTGGCTTTGAGCCACTGGAATTCTAGCTTGGGGGCTCTTCCCTTCAGGCTGGCTAGGAGTAGGTGGGGGCGCACCAGCTTCCCAATTCCTCAGTGCTTTGGCAAACAAGGCCTCATACAAGTGGATCCCTGACAGGCTGAACTGGGGGAGGGGCAATTGAAGAACCCAGAGCCAGAGTTCAGAACCCCTGAGCGCTCAGCACCGCTGGCCTGCTCTGGCCTCCTCTCGCCCTCTCTGAGCCACCTGGTGCTCCTGCTCAGCAGACTTCTTTGCCACTGTCACTCCACCCTCAGTGGTGCTTGGTGCGAAGATCTCTCCAGGCCTCAGTGTCCTCATCTGTAAAATGGGAACAAAAACACTCTTTTGTAGGGTTTTGAGAGAAGAGGTGTTTTAAAAATTTTGTAAGGGTTTGTTATTCTTAGTATCAGGGTTGAGGCAAGGGTCCAAGTCCAGTTAGGGTTTTGATAATAGTTAGGGATGGGTCTAGGAGTTTCAGAGGCAACTCTCAGGGTTTCCTCCAGGGCAGGGGACTGTGTCCTCTAGGTCTGCAGCTGCTAACATCCCCTGTGCTTCTCCCCAGCTCACCGTCTATCTGGGAAAGCGGGATTTTGTGGACCACATCGATCTCGTGGACCCTGTGGGTGAGTCCCTGGAGGGTAGGGAGGAAGGCGAAGGGGGAGGCAGGCTGGCCCAAGCCTCCCAGGAATAGCCCCCAGGTCTCCAGAGGGGCTGGTGCCAAGCATGGGGTGTGACTGGCTTCCTGCTGCAGTCAGCAAGCGCCTATTTACCACGCAGCTGCTTTCCCATTCAAGGGAGGGCTGCGTGAGGAGTTTGTGGGAAGGACTGAGGTGAGAAACAGGGAGGGGGTCCTGATGACAGTAAGGAGGAAGAGGACAATGACGGTGACAGCCACAGCTTGCTGTAAGGCTTTTCATGTAGCTGATGGTGGGGTGGCCATGATGATTAGCCCTGCTTTACACAAGAGGAGTATGAGGCCCAGAGAGGCCCAGTGACTTGCTGCAGGTCACAGAGCTGGTAGAGGAGCCCAGATTCAAACCTGGCAGTCTGGCTCTGCAAAAACCTTTTGTTCTGCTGCTCCTGATGGCAAAGGATGGGAGATGGAGGCAAAAACCCTGGTGCTTCTGTAATGGGAGCTGTCCTTACCTACCTGGGGGTCCTGCCAGAGGCTGGGCTGTGGCCGAAGGCATCTTCTGAGGTCTTATTTGAGTTCAGGGTTTCTCAGCCTCAGTACTCCTGGCATTTGGGATTGGATAGTTCTTTGTTGGAGGGGTCTGTCCTGTGTGTTATAGGGTCTTTAGCAGCATCCCTGGCCTCTACCCATTAGATGCCAGGAGTCCTGCCACTCCAGTTATGATGATCAAAGGGTTAGACATTGCCACATGTCCCCATGGGAGGCAAAATCACCCCTGGTTAAGAAGCACTGCTCTTTTTGGAAGAGCCTGTGTCTTACTGCCTCTTCCGGTGGCTGTTTGAGGGAGGGAGGCCCAGAATTACCCCTATTTTACAAACGGGCACAGTGAGACCCATCAAGGTTAAATGATATTTTTAAAGAGAGACATGAACAAACCAAAGTGAGGCCAAAGGAAGTGACAGGTTGGGAGGATGGGGACTGGAAACTGCTTGAGGCCAAGTCCAGGTAAAGAAATTGGGAAAAAAAGTATTGCTTGGGAAAAAAAGTGCAGAGAATGTGGCCTCTCTTATCAGGTCCCTGGGGGCTGTCCTGAGCCCACAGGGCCAGACAGACACAAGGGAGAAGAGCACAGCAACAGATATCAGCTCACTAGGAGGAAGACCTTTGTGACATTAGGGCAGGAGACCCCGGCAGTCCCTGTGCCGGAGGGGTGTAAGCAGGGCCAGGAAGCTGCAGAAGCCACCTTCTCTCCAGCCCCCTTCCCTTATCCCCTTTGTGGTCTGGAGCAGAATGACCCCACATTCCCTCTCCAGCCTCTCACAGTCTCTCTGGGGACACTGTTTGGTGTCTCCTAAAGCTTGGTATTCCCCTCTGCCATTCGGACCTCTCCCTGAACCGGCCCTCAGAGGCAGTGAACAAGCACCTGCGTGTTCGCTTTCTGCTTCCGGTCCTAGTCTCCAGTGGGCTCTCTGAGGCCAGGTTGTCCACACCCATCAGCCTATTGAGGACAGCAGAGGTGGCCAAGGGAGGGACAAGAGCCAGCAGGAGCAGCTTCCCCTCCACACACACAGGCACCCTGAGAGCTGTAGAGCAAGTGTTCACAGAGCACCTACTTCCTGCCAGGCCCCGAGTGGGGCCCTGGGGATTCCAGAGAGCTCTGGGGCATGGTCCAGCGTTGATCAGATGACTCACAATGAGAAATACATCTTCCACCATGACATTGCCCTTTGGCTTGATCTGATTATAGCCTCTACATGCTTAACTATTCCCCTTCAAATCCAGACGCAAGTGCAAGTCCCTGGTCTGGCTCATGGGACATTTAGCATCAGGCCTGGCCCTCCCCTCCCACTGGCTTCCAGAATCTGTTCTCCAGGCCTCAGGCCATGCTCTTCCGCTGCCTGCCTTGTCCTCCCCCTTAGTCCTCTAATCAATGGCCCTTACTTGTCCTGTGAGACCTCTGGTGGGGTCAAGTGCCCTCACTGGGAATCCCTCTCCACTGATTTTCTACTAAGCCCCTGGTGCTCAGTGCAGGATGTGGCTCAGAGGAGACAGCCCCAATAAGAGGAAGGAAGATGCATGGGGGGCTCTGGGGACAGGTTAGGCACTCCCTGACCAGCTGTACCTTGGACCTGCCCAGGGCTGGGGTTGGACTGGGATCCTCCAGCCACTCACTTCCAGACAAGGCCTCTGAGATTCCCTGAGAGGTCGTAGGGGCAGCTTAGGGTGGGGGTGGGTTAGAGTGTGGGCAGAGAGAAAGAGAGAAAGAGAAAGGTTTGGCTGGAGATGAACTGGGGATCCCAGGCAAGGGGGTGACCCCTGAGCCAGTGTTTCTGGCTGCCAGTGGTGCTGGCCAGAGAAAATGTCCTCCATCCAGCTGCTCCCAAGGACAGGCCTTGGGGCACTGAAGCCCATTCCACATTCTCCGTAGTGCTCATGCGCCTATGCACTTTACACATGTGCACATTCACACATGCCACCAGTTAGTCTTCTGGAGCCCACTGGAGACTAGGACTTGAAGCAGAAGGTGAACACCCAGGTGCTTGTTCACTGCCTCTGAGGGCCACGTCAGGGAGAGGAGTCCTATGAGGTGGGTACTACAGATCACAAGCCTGATTTACAGGTTCCAAATCCACAGAGCTCTGAAAACCTAAAGTTGTTCTTAAGTTTGGTGCAGAATTCCTTTATTGGTGTAAGATTCCTTTATTCAGCCTGAACTGATAGGAGCTATTTATGCCTTATTTAGCCTTTGGGGAGAATATTTACGTTTCCCTGGTGAGGTACTGATGGCTTTGATGACAGGGTGCAGATCTTGCAGAGGGTGTTACAGAATATGTGGAACACATACCATATTGTCTCTCTACAATTCAAAACTTGTAAATTCCAAAGTATACCTGGTCCTGGGGGTTTCGGACCCATATTATCAATCTTAGTAACAGATGAAGGAACAGAAGTAGCCAGTCACCAGCCGGGGCTGTGAGGCCGGCCTGGGGTGGGGTGGAGAGGAGGCTGGGAGGTGGAGGGTCACTGGTGCTGGCTGCCCCATTTCTTTCATGATGCTGTGGGATGGACAGATGGTTGGATTTGGGTTTTGGTTGGTGTTGGAGGTTCAGGGGTTTGGAAGCTCAACTTGGGAGGGTCTGTTCACTCTCCGTTCTTCCCCCAGATGGTGTGGTCCTGGTGGATCCTGAGTATCTCAAAGAAAGGAGAGGTAGGCTGTGGCCCCACCTTTAGCCTGTCGAGGGGCCTCCTGTTCCCCCACCGACCTCCAGCCCTGGGCCTCCCTGACTCCCAGGCAGGACACAGGCTAATCTTATTGCCTCTCCATGCCCATCCCCAAGCCCCAGCGAATTCTACAGCAGGAGTGCTGACCTCCTCCAGCCTGGGGCAGCCCTGCCCCGTGCCCACTTTGGGAAAATGTTTCCAATGCCCTGAGCACTTTCATATCAATATGTCACAACTGTGGCAAGGCTGGGATGCCAACAGGGCAGGAGTTAGGGTCTCATTTAACAGAAGAAAAAATGGATACTGGGGAGGTGAAGGGGTTGTCCATGATCAGCAGGAGTTCAGGAGTAGGGGACTAGGCTGGGACAAAGCCCCTGGCTTCCTGACACACCCAGCACTTGTCCCCCTTCCCCCAACTGCCTCCCTGCCCCTTCCCCAGGCCCACCCGCCCAGCCTGCCAGTGACTCCAGCCCCCCTCCATGCCTGGCCTGTCAGACCATTTCCTGTGCCCCTCCACACATGCCCAGCCAGAATGGAAGGGGGACAAGGACAGAACTGGCCCAGCAGGTGCTCCCACCTCCTCCCAGGGCCAGGCTGTGGGAGGCTCTTCCAGGTACCCAGTACCAGCCCCAACATCACAAGGGGAAACAGTACAGCCCTCTGCAGAGAGCTTGGGACAGGCCTGGGCCTCTGGTTGGGCCAATCCCAGGGCTGCAGCTGGGGCTCTGGGAGGGGGTGGGAGGCTTGTTTCCTGCTCCCTAGGCCCTTCCTCAGTGGCCCCTGCTCCCCACAGTCTATGTGACACTGACCTGCGCCTTCCGCTATGGCCGGGAGGACCTGGATGTCCTGGGCCTGACCTTTCGCAAGGACCTGTTTGTGGCCAACGTGCAGTCCTTCCCGCCGGCCCCTGGGGACAAGAAGCCCCTGACGCGGCTGCAGGAGCGCCTCATCAAGAAGCTGGGCGAGCATGCCTACCCTTTCACCTTTGAGGTCAGAGACTGCCATCCCCGGGGCCCATTCCAGAAGCACCATCTCTAGGAAGTCCTCAGGGCAGGCACATGGGGGCAGTGGGGACAGCCGCTCCGTGTCACCCAGTTTCCCAGTGTACGTTGGGACCTGGGGCACTGTGATTTACACTACCTGGTAAGTGTCTCTTCTGTGGCCACTGCTGTGGGCATCACGCTTACCTCTGGGCTGCTCCTTAGACCCTCCTGAATCCAGGTCATTGGTAGGAGAGAGGAGGCTGAGGGAGTTGCTGAGAGAAAGAAAGAACCTTTTGTGGCCCCTGAGTCACTTCAAGGTGTCTTCCCCTGAGACTGGCTGCCTTCTTGTCTCAACCCAGCTCACAAACAAGGCATGGCAAACAACTGATTTTCCTGCCGTGCCACCTTTCAATCCAGAGACTCCAAGATTTTGGATTCCAAAATTTCTTGTTTCTTAAACTCTCTGATTCTGGGATGCAGCGCAGTCCCCCCCACCCCAGCTTTCTATGAGGGTGAGAGAGTGGAGAACACACACAGTCATCTTTCCCATGCAGGCGTATTAGTTTCCTATGGCTACTGTAACAAATCACCACAAACTTGGCGGTAGTTAAACATCAATTAAAACAAGACAGATTTAGGATTTTACAGTTCTGGAGGTCAGAAGTCCAAACTGGGCCTCACTGGGCTGCAATCAAGGTGTTGGCAGGGCTGTATTCCTCCTGAGGCTCCGGGGAGATCTGCCCCTTGCCTTTTCCAGCTTCACACTCCTTGGCTCATGGCCCTTCCTCCATCTTCAAAGCTGGCAGTGGCCGGTCACGTCTTTCTCCTGTCCCTTCACTCTGGCACTTCTGCCTTCTGCTTCCTCCGTTATTGACTCTTTGATTATATTGGGCCCACCTGGATAAGCCTGGATAATCTCTCCATCTTAAGGTCCTTAACTTAATCACATCTGCAAAGTCCCCTTTGTCATGTAAGATAACATAGTCACAGGTTTTTGGGGTGAGAACACGGACATCTTTGGGGACCCATTATTCTGCCTGCCACAGTGGACATCATGGAAAGATCTTTTTCAACCACTGCTCTGAGGACTGCGCTGGGCCAAACCCTTTAGATAAGGAACACTCAAATCCTTGGCTTTACTGGAGGGACTCTGGCCCAGTGTGGGGCATGGCTTGGTATGGTATGATGGGGGAGACATGGCCTGTCCTCAGGGGCCCCTGATGAATGTGTGTCGGAGCGGCAGGGGTGCGACACACAGGGAAGGATGGTGGTGGGTGCGATAGGTGGCTCCTTCTGTCTTCTTAACAGATCCCTCCGAACCTCCCATGCTCTGTGACGCTGCAGCCAGGGCCTGAAGACACAGGGAAGGTGGGTCACCACAGAAGGAGCATGTCTGTGGGTCCAGGACTTTCATGACCCCAGTTCCCTGGCTTTCTCCCTGGGAGGGGCTGGACACACAGGACCACCCTCTTGCTGAAGCTTCCTTGTGTCTAGGCCAAGCTGGCCCTGCCTCAGACAACCAGTCTATTTTCACATAAGATACAGGGTCAGCCTCACTCCCACGTTCAGTGACATGTCCAGAGGCTCTCCTGAGTCACTCTCACTGGCTGTGGTGTTGGCTGCAACAGGACCAAAGTGTCCTTGGACCTACAGCTGGCCTCACATAACCGCCCAGTAACCTTGTATGGAGGTGCGATCATGGCCATTTCACAGATGGGGAAACTGAAGCTCAGAGAGAAGTGACATCACTAGTGCCCCAGGCCTCAGACCTCTGAGCCCGTTTCCTCATCTGTGAAGTGGAGATAATAGGATATGCTTCCTGGTGTTGTTCAAGGGTTGGGTGAGACCGAAGCAAGCCGCCCAGTGCAGGCTCTGCACACGGTAGGTGCTCCTAAACAGCGCTGCTCAGGCACCTGTTGCTATTTCTGGACAGCAGCCTTGGTGAAGATGGCCACCCAGACTGAGCAGGAGTCCAGAGAGTAGAGTCCAGCTAGGGTGGTTTGGAATGTGCAGTGTCGTGGGGAGTTGGGCAGCAGCTCAGTCAGTGGGTCAGATCGGGGAGGGAGCTGCAGCAGGAGGCAGCACAACACTGGGGCTGAGCATCAGGGCTTCAGAGTCAGACCAAGGAGCAACTGGGCCAGAGGATCAGTGTTCCTGTCCAGGGTCCTTGTTTGTAAAATGAGAGGGTGGACAGGCCGTGCACTGGGGACCTTGCCTCTCCAAGGCCCTGTGGTCAGTGACCCCTTCCCCATAGGCCTGTGGTGTGGACTACGAAGTCAAAGCCTTCTGTGCAGAGAACCTGGAGGAGAAGATCCACAAGCGGTGAGCAGGTCGCTGGGGTATGGGGTGTGGGGGAGTGTGGGCTGCCTGCCGGGAGAGGGAGGGAGACAGGATGGGCAAGTCCGAAGAGGAGATAAGTAACAATACCTGGAAGTGACGAGGAGGGGCTGCATATTCCAGCCTTGGGAGCTCTGAGTAAGGCTGGTAGGTCATGGAGGGCTTCCTGAGGGAGGTGGCTTCAATTGCCCTGGCTCAGGCTGCAGCGGTTTTTCTTTTCAACACTGTAGCAGCTTTTTCCCTCATCTCCCTTTAGTCTCATCCTCTCCAGATTACATGGCTTTTTATGCTGTTTTGGAAAACTCCCTAAATTGAGATTGTGTTAAACAGTGAGCAGGATGTTTCCTGGCCATCCCCATTTCCCAGGTTTCCTCCTGGGAGGTGATCAGCAGGAGGTGGGGTGTGTGTGTCAGCGGAGGCTTCTAAGCAAGGAGGGAAATGGAGAAAGTGAACCCAGCCAGGAGAGTGTGATGGGGAGGTCAGCCCATGTCTCAGAGAGGGGAAGCGTTCTCCTGGAGATGCAGAGTCCAGGGCAGACAGCCCAGGCTGGCAGCTAGAAACAGCTGGCTCTGACATCTCATGCCTGGCCATCCTGGGGTCAGGCCGGCCCTGCCCTGCCTCCTGGCATGGCTGGTCTCAGCCCCCAACTCTGATGCTCCTGCAGCCTAGCCTGGGGCAGGGTTCCCGAAGGCTGCCTGAGGGTCCTGCAGCCTCCTTAGGGAGTGGGCTGAGTTTGCCACCTGGTGGCTACAGGATGTATTGCAGGCATTCCTATCTGCAGCCCTGGCAGCTCGCATGTGTGGGGAGGTGAGACCCTTCTCCCTTGCTTCTCTGTCCGCCTATTCCTCCTAAGACCTAAGACCAGGGCAGAAGACGGGCACTGTGGGTTGTGGAAGGGGGCTTGGCCAGAGCAAGGAAGAGGAGGCAGCATTGAGAGCCACCACCCTCACCCCACCACCAATAGGACATTTTAAGTCCACACCAAAGAGTTACTAGTAATAAGGATATAGTAGCTATCATTTATCAAAGGCTTGTTAGGCTCCAGACGTGTTCAAAGTGCTGGACATGCATGATCAGATTTAATCCTCACAGCAACCCTAAGCAGTATGTCCTGCTGTCGTCGCCATTTTACAGATGAGGAAGCTGAGGCACAGAGAGGTTAATTTACTCAAGGTCATATAGTTCGTAAGAGGAGAGCTAGGACTGAGAGTTTAATCCTGGCTCTCGGGTTCCAGGGACTGCAAGCGGCTTATCTGAGAAATGGGGATGCTGGCATAGCCAGAATGCCACAGAGACCATCTCACTGAGTCCTCGTCCCCTCACCAGCTCCTCATGTCCTCGTGTCTTCCCTGAGCCCGTCACCTCCACTGAGCCCATCTCACCTGGGGTCACCTCACTGAGGTTATCCTCTTCACTAGCCTGCATCCCCCTGACTGAATCCTCACCCCCTCACTGAACTCTGACACCTCCCCAAGCTCCCGAGCTTCTTCTGTAGCCTCTGTCCCCTCTGCATGTTTTTACTTAAGTACTTCACAGCTGTTTATCATATCACAGGTGCTGCTAATATAGCTGTGAGCAATTTAGAGAAAAATCTCTGTCCTTGAGGAGCTTGCACTATTAGGTGATATAGGGAGGCAGGTAGTGAAACCAGTCCCTTTCTTACATCCTGCTGAGTACCAAGACACAGACCCAAGTGAAGTGTTGCCACAGGATGGTTCTGGGACAGAATGGGGGAGGATGGAGTGGGGCCGGATGGTGACAAGACCCCTATGCCAACCTCTGCAGTCTGGCTGGATTCTAAGGCGATGGGGAGCCATGGCAGTCTCTTGAGGAGGAGAGGAATGCGAGGATCACAAGGAAAGGGGATGGAAGCAGGTGACTCTGGTTACCTTTTACTCCACCCATCTCTGTTAGGAATTCTGTGCGTCTGGTCATCCGGAAGGTCCAGTATGCCCCAGAGAAGCCTGGCCCCCAGCCCACAGCTGAGACCACCAGGCAGTTCCTCATGTCGGACAAGCCCTTGCACCTCGAGGCCTCCCTGGATAAGGAGGTAGGAGGCTCAGACGTGGCAGGGGGTGGGGGCTGCTCTGCCAGGGCCTGGACCTTAGCTCCCAGCTCTCTCCTGGCCTCCAGGGACCCTTCAGGGAAGAACTCTGTCCCCAGCCCTAGAACCACAGAGCTCAGGGAATTTGAGACCTCTCTTGGAGGATTTGGGGAAGTCTCTTGAGCCCAGAGGAGTGGCAGAGAGGGGCATGAGCCTGAGAGGTGTGATTGACTTCAGAAGGGAGCAGTGTACCCTCTGGAGGAGTTCTGGCCATCTCCCCTCACACCCCCACCAACTGCCTGCCTCAGGCTCAGTGGGAAGGACCAACCAGCTCTGCAGAGGGGGACAGAGGTGGCCCGTGAACTCCCTGCCATAACCCTGCCAAACCCTGTGGAAGGAAGGGAACCTACCCCCTGCCCCAGGCTTTGAATCAAAACCAGCCAACTGATACCTGCTTTGATCTTGGGCTGGCCCCACCTTTAGGTGTGGGCATCCCCTCTCCCATGGACAGCCGAAGGCAAGGGCCTGGAGCAAGATGTGAGTTGAGGCCCTTTGGTGAGAATTTAGAGCTGGTTCCCTCAGTGAGCTGGTCGGTTCCTCACCTTTCCTCTGCTGCTTCCAGACCCTCCTGCATCTAAAATCCCAGCCCATCAGAGCCACAGGGACTCATGACATCGCCCAATCCAACCCCTTTGTGTGCGGAGGGAGAAACTGAGGCTTAGATAACCTATCCAGGCTCACACCACTATCATCATCATTATTATTACTGCTGTCGTTATTACTGGTGGCCAAGCCAGGATAGGCGCCCAAGAATATCACCTTCTAATTCAATGATTTTTTAAGGGTTCCACAAAGAACTGAAGGCTAATATGCTTGGTGGCTTCAATGCCACTTTAGTATCAGTGGGAAATGGCTGATGAACTTGGGGCAAATGTCAGAATGGCCAAGGTTTAGGAAACCCCTGGAGGTTAGTTTGGGGCCTCTTCTCCCTCCCCTTTGCCTAGAACTTTGGTATCCTCCCCGTCAATAGTGTCCCTTCTTACATCTCCCAGATCTATTACCACGGAGAACCCATCAGCGTCAATGTCCACGTCACCAACAACACCAACAAGACAGTGAAGAAGATCAAGATCTCGGGTATCCCTGGGAGCGGGTCAGCTCACGGGACGGGCCAGGGGGAATGCTCCCAAGGGTTCAGTGTAGCTGAAGGATCTCCTCTTGTTAAGAGCCTTGTAAATCACTGCTGTAAATATGTAACTACCGAAGTCTTGCTCAGGGCCTGCTCTGAACCAAAGGGTAAGGCTTTCGAGTCTGGTAACGCAGGCTGCTTATTGGTCAGGTAAAGTTTACTGTTTAAGCCACCTCTCTCTTAGGTTTCCCGGGTTCTGGACAAAGCTGTCCTTGAAGGGAAGACTTTGATTATGGCAGGGAATGTGTGTGTTTGGGGCTACCCTTTGGATGAGGATGGGAGTAGGCTCCTGCAGAGGTCCCCGCTGGTGGACTCTGGCCATTGCCTGGGGCTGAACATCCCCACCTTGGGGAAGCCTGAGATGCTTCCTGGGAGCTGCATCCCCGCTCATCCGGCCTCCGTTCCCTCTCCCTCTGCAGTGCGCCAGTATGCGGACATCTGCCTTTTCAACACAGCCCAGTACAAGTGCCCCGTTGCCATGGAAGAGGCTGAGTAAGTAAGCACAAGCCTGGCCTTGGACGAGCAGAACTGGGTGGGAGAAAGAGAGGCTCTGGGTTCAGTTACTGGCCCAGGCAGCTACCCTCCATCTGGCAGAGGGCTAGGGGCTTGCCACTCAGAGTAGATGCTCCTGAAGCGCGTTTTAGAAAGCACCCACCTGATTTAGCTACAAGAAGATGCATGCTACAGTCAAGGGGAGACCCACTAAAATTTGAGTGACAAAAAAAGAGCTAATGAAAGTAAGGAGATCAGGGCTGTGGAGAGAATAGTTACACTGTATGAGAAACCAAGGTTGTGGGGAGATACTTTGCTCTGAACTTCCCGGTAGCCAAGGCAAAGGAAGTACAGCAGTAGGTACGCAGCTTTCCTTGTCTGATAAAGGAGTAATCCAGCCCATTGGGTATAAGGGGCTGTGTGGGGGAGGATAGAGAATAATTATATTAAAAAAAAAATCTAAGTTTGAGGAGAGCTACTATGGTTGAGCATAGAACTTTGTCCCAAGCTTGTTGGCAACTAAGGCAGGAGGAGGGATGTCAAGTGAAACATCTTTACTTACCTAAAGGAACTAGGTGCTTCATCAGAGGACATGCAGTTTTTTTCCTGACCCTGCAAATAATTTTTTTTTTTTTTTTGGCAATCGCATTTTATGGAATTTTACATGTATATGTGCATTTACTTAATATTTTTTGCAACTTAAAAACATTGTAAAAATGTTACTATATGGTCTTTCAGAGAGTTTTTAATGTCCTGTAGGTGAACGAACATGCTATGATTAGTTCAAACATCCCCCCACTGCTGGATATTTCTTATATCCACTGTTGATTAAAAATATAATGAAAGCCATGAGGCATAGATTACTGACGAGGGGTGGGTAAAAGCGAAGTGATCTAGAGCCAGAGTAACATATTATCCCCAGAGAGTGGAAAATCCTAAACCTGCAGACAGTGGCAGCACCTGCATGGCAAACATCAGCATGGATGGGTGCGGAGGCATTTATGATCACAGTGCTGTTTAATTCTCATGAACCCTGTGGGGCTGGGGTTGCTGCAGCCCCAGTATGTGGATGAGGAAATGACGTCAGAGTGACGTGACTTGCTCAGCCTCCCAGAGCTGGCAGGTGGCAAAGCTGGGGCTTGAACCTGGGTCATCTGGCTCCAAGGCTTGCCTGCTGTCTGCTGCACACCAGCTGTCTGGTTGAAAAGCGGGGTGGGGGATGGAGCAAAAACAAACAAAAAAATGGAACAATCAAAATACCCTATACGTGGGGCCAGCCCGGTGGCGCACTGGATAGTGCGCCGCTTGGGAAGCGCGGCGGCGCTCCCGCCCAAGGGTTCGGATCCCACATACAGACCGGTTCCCGCTCACTGGCTGAGCGAGGCGTGGGAGCAACACCGAGGGTTGCGATCCCGTTGCCGGACATGGAAAAAGACAAAAGACAAAAAAAAAAAAATACCCTATACGTGGGGCCAGCCCGGTGGCGCACTGGATAGTGCGCCGCTTGGGAAGCGCGGCGGCGCTCCCGCCCAAGGGTTCGGATCCCACATACAGACCGGTTCCCGCTCACTGGCTGAGCGAGGCGTGGGAGCAACACCGAGGGTTGCGATCCCGTTGCCGGACATGGAAAAAGACAAAAGACAAAAAAAAAAAAAATACCCTATACGTGATGAACAGATATGTGATAAAGCTACAAGGAGAGTTTTCAGCGTAGAGCCCAGGTGGTGGGCGTATGGATGTCTAGTAGCTTCATTCATGGTTTGTGTGTAGCTGTAATTTTAAAAATAAAGGTACTGCTTAGCACTGTGCTGTTTGTCTAGGATAATTTTCTAGCGCAGCACATCTCAGAGTCAGTCCTGTTTGTGTGGAGAGTGTTAGCTGCGTCTGTCCGGGTAGCAGTAGTCTTTCTGCCGGAGCTGGGCCTGGCCCGAGTGGTCCCTGCAATTGGGGGACCGAGGTTGGGAGAAGGAGGCCCGAAGCAGGGCCAGCCTGGATGTCCTGGCTGGGTTGGTTCTGGGAGGGCCATCTCTACACCTGCCTCCCTCCCTTCTTCCCAGTGACACAGTGGCACCCAGCTCAACGTTCTGCAAGGTGTACACGCTGACCCCCTTCCTGGCCAACAACCGAGAGAAACGGGGCCTTGCCCTGGACGGGAAGCTCAAGCATGAAGACACGAACCTGGCCTCCAGCACCCTGTGAGGACCCGCCCTCCTGGTCCCAGGCTCTCAATGCCAACTCCCCCCACATGGGTCAACACCCTCTCTGGTCCTCCCAGTGCAAGGACAAGGCTCGGCTACCCTTTCCCCTAGGCTTGTCCAGATCCCTTTCTCAGCAGCTTGACTCATCAGGGAGGCTGTACCCCTACTCCCACCCTTGCCCAGGGTGACCCAGAAAACAAGGTGGGCCACTATACCACGCTCGCTTAGTCAGTGCTGGCTTGGCCAGGTTGCCTGAGGGAGGCACACCGGAAGGCTTCCTGCAGGAGGCAGTAGCTCCTGGCTTAGTGTCTTCAATAAGACAGGGTGTGTCCCTGAGGGAGAGCAAGGCCAGAGGAAGGTGTGGCTCCTGGAAGGGTCCTAGCGGGAGAGGATGAACAGGAGGGGCTTGGGAAGGTCCGGAGAGACAAGGGTGGTGAGCTGGGCTAGACCAGATGTGGAGTGACCCTCAAAGCCAGGGATCCCAGGGCATCTGCCCCCTGGTCATCACCAACTCCTCTATCCCGCCCTGCTCTAGCAGAGCCCTGGGGGTGTGGGGAACCCCCTGGTCCTCCCTGCTGAGGTGTAGCCTTTCAGTGGGGCTTTGGCCTGCCAGGGTGGCACCCTTGCCCACCGTGCCCAACACAGATTCCGGCTGGCGGTCCTTCACCATCCCCCCCCACAGGTCCCCACTACCTCCAAGCTTTTTGCCCCCCTCTCTACCCTGGCTCAAATCCTGCCTAGACAGGACTTAGGACCTAAGGGAGGCACCCCTTCCTCAGCGAAGTCCTTCCCTGACCACCCCACCTCCACCCCCACTGCCCTCACCCTCTCTGAACTCATAGCCCTTTCTGCTCATGGGTTGCTGAGCACAAAATTGTTGGTGTGAGAAGCAGAACCTGATTCTCTGAGAGTAGGCAGGCCCATCTCTCACTGCCCTGCGGGGATGCTGGTCCAGGTAGGGAGAGGGGCTTCTGTGGCCACACAGTGAGCGAGTCTCATGGCCACATTTGGAACTCAGGATCCCAGCTCCCACTGCCCAAGGGCAGCTCACCTTTCTCATTTCCACTGGGCCCAGGGGGTGGGGCACACACTGGGCTCTGTTGGACATGGTGGCTGAGTGGCCCAGAAGAGGGATGGATGGCCTTGCCCTCCACCGCACCCACCCCCTGCCATGTCTCACCCACCCAGTAAGCCCCCACAGACTAGTCCCCCTGTGTCACCTTGCAGGCTGAGGGAAGGAGCCAACCGTGAGATCCTGGGGATCATCGTCTCCTACAAAGTGAAAGTGAAGCTGGTGGTGTCTCGGGGCGGGTGAGTGCTCTAGCCCAGCCCTAGACCCTGGAGTGCAGAGTGTCCTGAAAGCCCACAGCCCCCTGTCCCATTCTGCCTGTTTGTCCGACCTTTTAGCTGCATCCACCTTTGCAGAAGGAATGGATTTGAGGACTTCCTGTCCCTTTCCTTACCCCTCCTTTAGTGGCCCTCAGCCCATCCCTTGTCCCTCCCCTCTTTCTCTCTCTCCTCCTCCTCCTCCTCCTCCTCCTCCTCTTTATCCTGGGTCTGGGCCTCACACTGAAGATTGGGCATGGGGAGGGGGGCGGTGGGCATCCTCAGAGGCTGTGTTGTGGGGTCCCAGGGGTGTCGTGCCCCTCGTCACAGCTCGGGCACAGCACCCGCCCCACTCATGCCCAGGCTGATCTGCTGGGGAAATGGCTAAAGGGGCTGGGAATCCCAGAGCTGGACTGGGGATTTGCTAGCTAGTCAGACTTTCCCATTTTACAGAGGAGGAAAGAGAGGTCCAAACAGTTCCCCAAACATTTTCTGAAATATCCTCCCCTAACCTCAGGTCATGGGGCTGGGTGCTGGGGTCACAGCAGTGGACCAGACATAACCCCTGCCCTGGAGCACAGTTTGGTGGAGGCTCAGAAAAAACTCCCACATCTCCCCATATATTAAGCCTATATGTTATAAACCTAGAATTAGGATTCCTAATTTGTCAGAGAGATTTTTTTCTCCTAATTTAGTTCATAAATTCTTATGAAAAGATGTTAAAGCTAAATAGCATTAGACATTCAGTCCACTTTATTATTAGAATAATACCTCTCTGCAGGTGGCAGTGTGTAATACCACATATTATAGGACAACTCAAAACTGCAAGCCCTGCAATCCCAAGTCTTGTGTCCTGTGACCCATAGCCTTCCACATGCTCCTGGTGACCCCTAAAGTGCTTCCTTTTGCCATTAGGTAGTCTCGGCCTTCCCTGGAGCAGGCAGCACGGGGCTAGCTTTTACATCTCCTTTATAGATGAGGAGGCTAAGGGGGTTTGCAGAGCTGGGCCTGGATCTCAGTACCCCTGGGCGGGGCTAATGCCATTTCAGGGTGTCCCTGAAGGAGCAGTCAGAGCTGCACAGGGGTGGGGGAGTGTGCCCCCTGGGTCTCTATCCTGGGGCAGCAAAGGTGGTGAATGAATGTGCTTTCTGTTTTCTTCCTCTCTGAACTCTCTCCTGACCACTTCTCCCGCCTCCTCTGACCCACCCAGCCTGTTGGGAGATCTTGCATCCAGGTAAAGTCCCTTCCTTTGACCTGGTTGTCCCACCTTCCTGGAGAGCCCAGAGACCATTGGTCTTGACTGACCAGAACCACAGGGTGCTGGGTTGGAAGGAATCTTAGCATTCACTTCAGATTGCCAGGCTCTGGTGTGTGCTGGGGCTAGAACCCTCTCCATAGGGGCTAGGGAGATTCGTCTTCTTAAAAAACCTCACCTGCTTTTCCATCCCATCCAAGGGACAGGGAACTTTACAGACAGCAAAGCCCAGCTACCTTGGTCTGGGGAGCAGCCCTTAAGAGGCCTGTCCGAATTACTGATCACCTGAACTATAGGATGTCCTGGAGAAGTGCAGGCTCTGTGGTAAACTCCTACGCTAAATTAGCTACTTGCTGGTTGAGTGTTGCTAAGGAGAGGTCCTGAGGAGATCCACTTTTGTGACAAGATTCCCTTGTAGCCAGCTGGATGGACTGACATTCCAAAAATGTGTGTGTCTCAAACATGGCAGTTTGGCCTCCTGCTGTTAAAAGATGGCAATGTCGCTCATCCTAAGAAATCAATCTAATTTGGAGGTAAAACGAATTCAATTCAACTCAGTTTAGTATAATTCGGCAAAAATTTCCTGAACCCAGACTTGTGCCCAGGCTTGTTCTTGGTGCCGAGGTCCCAGAGAGGAATGATATACGCCCCTGCACTTACGGCCTGGTGGAAGGTTGAGGTCCAGATTCTTCCATCTACATCCTGTATGACCTTAGTGAAGGTTGGCAAACTCAATCCTCCACCGGCTTCCATTTGATAGCTCACTCTTCAAAGTGAACCTTGAGAAGCAAACCTCTTTGGAAGCAAAAACACGAAAAAGAAAGAAAAAGGAAAAAAAAGCCAAAGAGTTTTGACAGTCTTATAAAACCCCTGTATTCCCATTGAGGGGAAGTAATGATTCTGGCAGGCACAGCTTCACGGTTTAACCAGGCCTTTTACCTATATCATCTGGAAGTTCCGCTGGTTCCCCAAAGGAGGCGTTGTTATCCCCGTTTTCCAGATGAGCTCAGTGACACTTAGAGATGTAGAGTGCTCCACCACTGAGTGGTGGGCCTGGCCAAACGGACCCTTCTGGTTGCACAGACTATGCCCTGACCCGTCCATTCCCCGTCCCTTCCTCTTCCTTGCTGGGCCCTGGGCAACAAGATCAGTGAGATGTGGTTGGCGCCTGGAGGCGTTCACAGTTGCAGGGGGTCTCCTAGGGTGCTGCTTCCCCAAGCTGGGAGGAGTCTGCAGGGCTGCTTTTGTCCATCTCAGTTCTGCTGCTATCATACAGTGGTTCAGAGTGTGAATTATGGAGCCAGGATCTTCTATCACTTACCATTAATAGCTGTGTGGGTCTGGACAGTTAGCTCAATTAGTTGAGTGCAGTGCTGCTAACACCAAGATCAAGGGTTCGGATCCCCCTGCCAGCCAGCTACAAAAAAAAAGTTGTGTGGCCTTGGACAAGATACTTTATCTACTTGTGCCACAGTTTCCCAGTCCTCACATTGGGGATGATAATAATAGGGTTGCTGTGAGGATTAAATGAGTTACTCTATGGAAGGGGCTTAGAATAGCCCTTAGCACAGAGTCAGCACCGTGTAAATGTCTGCACTTGTTATTCTGTCTGTCAGGGCCAAGGGCAGAGAAGGCCTGGCCAGAGGCATTGGCTGATGGCCAGTTCTTCCCCACCGTCCTCGCCTGCCTGCCCCACAAGGCTGTAAATCTCTGTGCACAGTGTGGACAGCCCTGAGGCCTGGGCCCTGGGCCCTATCCCACTCAAATTTGATGAAACCGACCTCAACAGTGCTTCATCCAGATGGCAGAGGACTAGGGTCACCTAAGCACTTTTATAGGAGCCTCCTAGAGCTGTTGGGAGATGGGATGGAGTGAGGGTGGGAGGGGTCCCAACTGGGGGTTGGGAATGGCAGTGTCAGGGAAGGCTGGGGTGGATGTGGCAATTGAGGTGGGCACAGTCCCAGGGCATATTGGGAGCCACTCAGTGACCACTGTGCACACTGCCCTGGGCCATCCTTTTCCTTTCTGGATCCAGGAGAAGAGGTCTCCTAGTTCAAGTCCTAGTCCTAGAGAGACTGAGGCTCAGAGGTTGGCAGAACTGGTCCTGGAAGCCAGATTTCAGACCTTCCTCCTCTGACCACAAAACCTTTCCAGTCTTCAGACCAACAAGGCACTGAGTCTCACAGCCTGAGATTTGGCTCACGGCTGACTGGGTCTGGGTCTCTGTTTCAGCGATGTGGCTGTGGAGCTGCCTTTCACCCTAATGCACCCCAAGCCCAAAGAGGACCCCCCGCATCGGGAAGGTGAGCAGGATCTGTGGGCCACTGGGGTAGGGATTTCCACATAGCTGACTCCCTTCTCCACTCACTACCATGTTAGCCCCTCACCCCATCTCCCTCTGGGTTAGCCTTCAGCTCAGTGTCTCCCTGTCCCCAGCTCCCCAGGATCTTCTGTGGGGCCCACAAGTCCGGCGAGGCCTGGCTTCTGGTCTCAACGGGAGCAGGAGGCTGGGAGTGCAGGAGGAAGCTCCTTGCCCATGCCTTGAGCCCCTACCTTGCACCCAGTCGTGGGCTAGGTCCCATGTGGTAGGAGAAGGGGCTGCATGGATATGATGACCTCTGGACATACCATTCCCATCATTTTTTTTTTTTGAGTGATGCCAGATTGGTCATATTTCATTGAATCTAAGAGTGTTTTAGTTGAAAGAGAACATTATAGTATGTACCACAAAGGAAGACAATGTTCCCACAATTAAACTGTGAAATGCCATTGACTATAAAACACATCCCAAGTTCAGAGATGTTAAAATATAAGAAAAATGATTGTCTTAGAGTTAGTGCAAGTCATGCATGCAAGAAATTAATCTGAGTCATGTTGGAGACCTGTCAAAAGGAACAGGGGTCCAGAGGTTTTTTTGCTCTTCGGGGGCTCCAGTGGGCATCCGAGGCCCTCCCTGTACCCTTCTCCCTGCACTTAAGATAATTTGGGTGTTTCAAGACAGGGATGAGCCTCCCCCTTCTCCACTCCCCTTCCTCCTTTGCCCTCCCTGTCTTCTGGTTGTCCCGGGGTGGGGACCTGTGCCCATCCTCCCCCCGATGCCCACCCACTCACTAACCCCTGGGCGCCCACCTGTCCACCCTGTGTTTAGTTCCAGAGAACGAGGCGCCAGTAGATACCAATCTCATAGAACTTGACACAAAGTAAGCCAAACCTGCCTGCAGATGTCTGGGGGGTGGGCCGTGGGGGTGGGGCAGAGCGGAGGGGTCATTTGCATATATGCTTATTAACCCTGAGGAGCAGCTGGTCTAACCCCGTCTGCTGAGAGCCACCTCTGCTCGCCTCTTCAGCAACCCGCTTGCCTGCATGTGACTTGAAGGACCCTCCGTGCCTGTTCCTCTTCCTCCTGCCTTGGTGGGGTCTGTCTTCCTCCCTCGTCCTTGCACGTCCGTCCGTCAGTCCGTTCGTCCATCCACAGCACCGGCTCAGCTCACACAGGGCTGGTTCGTGGCCTTGGGCTCGGCTCTCCTGTCCCACCCATGCCCAACCAGTGGCATCAGGCTGTGGGGTGGGGAAGGGTCTGGGCATCTTGTTGCTCCTGACTCCTGAGGACCAAGAGATGCAGATTTCCCTGCGGTCAGAGGCCATCCTGTCGTCACCAGACAGTGGCAGAGGGGGATGACCTGGGCGGACAGCAGGAACCACCTCCAGGGCCAAGCAGCTTTCTCGTTCCAGCTCCAAAGCCACCCTTTCCTTGTCCCCCAGGAGAAATCTGAGATGTGGGTCCCACAAGGATGCCCTCCATGGCTGGCTGGACCCCCTGGGGACATCTGGGTGGACATGTTTTACGGTAGAAGGGAATTTGCTGTTCTTAGCAGCGGTCCTTAGTCCTGAAACCCCACTTAGGCCTCTCCTTTCCCCGTGCCCTTCCTCTGCCCCCTATTTAGACTCCCGACCCCAACCCCTCTCCTATCCAGGATCCCTCTGAGTAGAATATGAGCTGACACTTCCCAGGAGAAAGGGTGTTGGAGGCTTTCTCTTCCATTAAGCCAAACTCACTTCTTCCTGTTCAGAAACAGGAATGCTTCCTAAGGGTGGTTTTTTGGGTGAGTGCATAGGGTTTCTTGGGCCGGTTCTTGGGGAATTCAGACTATGCTGTGAAACCGCTAGTGGCCTGGCCTCTCACAGTGGGAATAATTTCTCCTCTGGCCACAGAACCACACCACTTCCCCCAACTCCTCAAGAACCCGGTCACTTTTCTAGCCCTTAGGCATGAGAGTCAAACTCATGCCCCACTCTGGCATTTTCACAACTGGCCTGAGTCCAGATGTGACCGTCTCCTCTGCCACAGGTGGGCATCCAGAGGTGCTAGCCTGGCAGGCCTTTCTGCCCAAGGTCAGCCCTGGAGGCCAGAGACCTCAGATGCTGTGGTTCTCCCCAGGGCCCCAGAGCCAGACTGAGTCACATCTGGCCGGGCTTCTGGAGATGCCTGCCCTCCCTGCCCCTGCAAACATGCCACATTTTCCTTGTCTCTCCCACCAGTGATGACGACATTGTGTTTGAGGACTTTGCCCGCCAGAGACTGAAAGGCATGAAGGATGACAAGGAGGCAGAGGAGGACGGTACTGGCTCTCCACAGCTCAACGACAGATAGGCTGGGGCCCGCCTCCCCCAGGCAGCCCCAGGTCACTCGTGCTCTAGGATGCTTATTCGTCTTCCTGTTCTGGTTTCCTCTTCCCTTTGTTCTTCCAGTTTCTGCCAGGGGGCCCCAGTGGTCTTCCAGGTCACGGTGATGCAGCTCTGGCCCCACATCACCATGCAACAGGACCACAGTGCATCGCCTGCAGCCTCATCTCTGCGGTCACTGCTCTGTCCCCCGTCGGCTCCACACTGACTCCCAGAAAGGCCACCACGGCTTTGGCCTTGGCATTTGACTGGAGCTGGGGAGCAGAAAGGGGAGGATGGGGCATGAGGGGCATGGGGATTGTGGGCATGAGGACTTGCAGGGGTGGGGATGAGGGCTGAAGACATATGAGAAGACGTCCACAGTCCCAGGTGGTTAACACAGTTCTGGCAGCTAAAAGATGACCGCATTGGAGGCCACCCCCTTCTGGCTGGAGGGGCAGACCTGTGGATAGATTCTCAATGCTTTTTTGCAGCTCGGACCCACCAAAGACCTCTACCCTCATCCCTGCCCCAGGTCCCTCTGTGTCTGACAGTGACATTGGTGAAAGGTCATAGACCCCAGGAGTGGACAGAAGCAACTGCACTGACTTTCTTACCAGCAGTTACCTAGACTAAGGCAAGATGTGCAAACTAGCCCAAGCACACTTCAGAACTGTCAGGATATGACTCCTTAGCTACCTTGTACTTTACGTGTGTGGACTGTCTATATATATATGCACAGAGGGGTGGTCTTCAGCAAGCACCAGCCCCTGGCAGAGTGAGCTGAGACTCCTGAGGAGGTTTCTCAGAGACAGGGGCAGAGGTGGGAAGATGAGAGTCTGCCCTGTGTCCCTTCCTTTGTGGATTTCAGATGATCATGCAGGAGGCAAGGCTGGAGGTCCCAGGGGGCTGGGGCCACCAGTATCCTCCTACTTCCCCTGTAGTTCTCCAGGGCTGGGCTCAGCTGGCCCTGCAGGCTGGAAGAGAGTGCCCGAGGCCACCATGCCACAGTCAAAAGGGGTCCTTTCCCAGAAGGTGGCCGGGCCCATCGAGATGCCCTCACCCAAAGGGAAGGAGGCTGCTGGGTAGCAAAACCCCTTCTTCCCTTGGGGAGTTGGTGACCTTTAGTAGTTCCCAGTGGCATGGGTACCCAATACCCATTGGCTGGTGTTGGCATGATTGGGAGCTGGGACATCTCCCAGGTGATGAGGTAGGAAGTGTTAAAAGGTATTCTTGCCTGGCCTTTGATGCTAACTTGCTGTGTGACCTTGGGCAAATTCCCTCCCTCTTTGGGCCTTGGTTTTTCACCTGGAAAACCAAGAGGTTTGACCAGATGGATCACAAAGGGCCCTCCCAGCTCTAGCCTGTAAGAATTTGTGAACATTATAGCTTCTGGTCTGGTGTGTGGAGGCAGAGTTGCTGACTGATCTGTCTGCCTCCAGAGAGGATTCATTGGACCTCAGAGGTGGCAAGATCCTACAGCACACCTGACCCCCCCCCCCCAGGCCTGGGAAGGGCCCTTCTTGTGCCCATTGGGGGTCACCAGTTGTCAAGCTTGTGGCCACAAGCTGCTCTGCCCTAGGGCCTGAGCAAGGGGGGACAGAGCTTATATTTGCTGAGGCTTGGGACAGGGGCTTGTGATGGGGCCTCCAGTACCTTACTGCCCCCTGTTGGATGCAACACACTGAGGTTTACCCAAACAAATATATTGATTAGCAGGGGGATGGGATCCCTCAATTTCTGTTCCCTTCCATCTCTGTTCCATACTTGCCTGAAAAGGGAGATAACAAAATTTTATTATACAGGTTGAATCTCAACCCTTTTCAGTCCTGTGCCTCCCGGGGGTGAGCTGTACAACCATTTCCCATGGTAAAATTACCCAGTCCACAAGCCTAGCACTTTACCTTTAGAATCTCATGAACACTCAACCCAAGAACCCTGAGTCAGTTCGTGGCAGTCATGCTTTCCTGGCCAGTCCTGGGGTCCTAGCTGCAGGTCCCCTGGGAACCCAGCCCCTACTGGAGCTTGCTGGGCAGTTTGCACCTCATCTGGGCAGCTGGAGAGTTGAGGAGGTGTTGGGACAGCACATGGCAAGTGTGTCCTATCCAGTGTCTTCCTCTGAAAGCTTTGGGGCTGATATAAGACCCATCAGCATTTGGGTTGACCATTCCCCTGCAAACCTCTTCCCCCACCCCTAACACACACGCAGAAAAGATTTGTCAGGCTGTTTTCTTGAGCTCCCTCCCCCTCAATATCACATTCACCCAGTGCGGTTTAACTGAAATTTCTCTAGCTGCAGGCAAGCACCAGAGCCCTATCTATCTTTTTGTTCTTTGAGCCAGGACTGCACAAGAGTGATGGTCAAGTTAGTCAAATTCAGCCTAACCATCCTTTGCTGACAACATCTCTGCTGTGTCTGCAGCACAGAGACGCAGAGATGGGTCAGTCCCAGCCCATCCTCAGGAAGCGCACAGTCGGGAAAGTTATAGGGGTCATTGTGTTCAGGCCTCCATGGTTGCTGCTGGTCCTCACAGTGCCTTGATGTGAATTAAAAAATGGTGCCCTTCCAGCTGGATTCAGACCTACCCTGGAACGCACAGCTTTGTGAATGGCACCCAGGTTGGATTTGGGTACCACTTGCCCCTTGGCCAGGTGCCGTCCTACATGGCTGTGTGCATAGCCAAAGTGTTTCCTTTGGCTTCTTCCAGAAGGGGAAGGCCCAGATCATCTTTCCAGGAGTCTGGTCGGCTCCAGACAACATACCCCTACCCCCACCCCAGTCCCCCAAACATGACCGAGTGTTCTCTGCAGGGCTCCTCTCCATTCTTGAGTCAAGTCTCCAGTCTGAGACCTTGGAGTGAAGCTGGGGTGGCAGATCCTCACTAGGCCCCAGCCCACAGTATTGGCTCTTCCTGTGTCAAGTGTTTAGGGCCTGTGCTGACCAAGCGGCCCCACACT